CAGGGTTGGGGGTGTGGGGAGCCCAGGGCTGGGCTAGGAGGGGGCTGCAGGTCGGGATTGAGGGGCACCGGCAGGGCTGGGGGGGTGGGGGGCCCGGGGGGGGGCTGGGGGGGGGCGGTGGCCCGGGGTTGGGGAGGCAGGGAAGCTGACCCAGAACCCCCCCACTTGCAGCTGACTGCCCCAACAAGCCCCCCGCCCCCTGCAGCCAGGCGGGGGAGGGCGGCAGAGCTGGGGCCAGAGGCGGGGGAGAACTCACCCCTTGGACGCCAGGCGGGAAGACGTACTGGATGATGATGGTGCCGTATTTCTCGTAGCCGGGGAGCAGCAGCCCCGAGTCCTTGGACACCAGCATGCGCCCGTTCTCGGGCTGGTTGCCCACCAGCTGCCCGTAGAAGCGCCCACACATGGGGCAGGCCCGCTTGACCTGCAGCGCCCGCGTGATGCAGTCCTCGCAGAAGGAGTGCCGGCACTTCTCCAGCGTCTTTACGTTCTGGATCTCGCCCAGGCAGATGGGGCACTGGCTCTCCTGCTCCTCCTCCCGCGAGCCGCCCGCCGCCCCCCCCAGCCCCCCACCTCCTCCTGTGCCCCCCGCCCTGGCCCCGGTGGTCTGCTGACCCCGGGAGACCACGCCGGCCCCGTGCGGGCGCAGCTCGCCCCCGGGTTTGTCCAGCAGGGCCATGCACCCCACCAGCTCGCTCTGCCGCTGCGCCTTCTTCAGCTCCTTCTCCGTCTCCTTGAGCAGGGCCTTGAGGGCTTTGCGGGCCAGGTAGAGGCCGTTGCCGGCCCCGGGGGCCGGCGTGGAGAGCTGCAGCACGTAGATCTCCGAGGTCTCCCCGTCGATCAGAATGCTCAGCTTGGTCTCCTCCTTCAGCTTGACCAGCTTGGAGGGGGCCTCTTTGGTCAGGAAGTCCCAGACGGGCTTAGAGACCGTGAGCTTATTTTTAGTGGTGCCCCCGCATGCCGCCATCCTGGATAAAACAAATGACACTGAAGAGAAAAGAACAGTCATCAA